GTCCAGATGACCTGACTGAAAAATGTTGGATTGTATACCTGGATTATTGAGCATGGACTTTGTTGTACGTATAATAGTTTCTCTACAAGTGTATTGTGTGCCGTATGCTGTACTTTTGTTTGGAAGATAAATAGTGTTGAAGCAAGTTCAAATGAACATTGTGTGAATTAAAAAAAAAGGTTTGTCATGTGTTATTAAAGCAGTAAGCAACTTTCAGGGTAAACAGGCAATTTGTGGTAAGCTATGCCTAAATCAATCTGGCTAAATGTGTGGCACGAGAGTTTTGTGAACAAGTCCTCTATATAAGGCAGAGGGTGACAGTCCATTATTACACTTTTATTAGCTTCACAGAGATCAACACAAGATTAACAAAGCCACAAGCCTCCTTTGTTTTTTCGTGCCACCACTAAAGGACTCACCCATTCAGATGTATCCACTGGTCCAGTGATACCTACTTGAAGTAAGCATTTCAGCCGCGCAATGATATACTGAATGACAGGTTTTGGTGTACAGGTTGTTTAATAAACCTTGTGAATGGAGTTACAAACAGTCAATATTTAAACCTCTCAGTGATGGGGGACATCAGCGTACCACTTGTTATAATGAACGTGGGGTGGAGAACAACGTTTGAGTGTTTTGTGCTCTTCTTTAACCTCTAAAATGGGCATTTGCAGCTGCCACTGTACAGATGCAGGCGGGACTGCACTCACAGCTGAGAGAAGTGTTTCATTTTAACTGCTGTTTCCACTTGACATGCAACATTAGAGCTTTGTCCAGTGTGAGGTCCTACTCCATCAGCAATGGATCCTTCACAGCACTGACGTAAGCATTAGAAATTAATTCTTATCCGTGGTTCCTCCCCCTGAAAATTTGGAATAAAAGAGATGCCATTTCCTGCATCTTGGTGCATTTTAACAGGTTGTTAAACATCTGTAAACATTTGATTAAATAAATTAAAAACAGGTCTCTTGTAAATGATGAGGCTCAATGAGACCAACAACCTGTATAAATAAAGGTTGAATTGAAATTACTATGAGCAGTGAATTATAGCAGCTCCGATTCTGTCAAGCGTCCCCCCCCCCACACACACACACAAACTTCAATGTCCGACCCGAACTCTTCTGAATTCAGTCCTGCACGTTGTTCTGCTCCAGTCTCCATCACCACCACCTTCAGGTGCTTCAGTTCTCTGTTGTCCAGCTGAGGACAATCATCCATTTATTTTAGATAATGAGTTGGACGGTCTTTTTAACATTTTGATCCTGTTATTTTGACTAATTTTGAAACGTAATGTGAAAAATACACATCAAACATTTCACTCTTTATTTTGTTTTACCGCAAGTTTTTTTTTATTAATTATCTTTGAAATGCATGCAGGAGTTCTGCCACACTGACAGTTGTGCACGCTCTGCAGAGCTGTCTGGAGACACTCCTGTGCGTAAAACGTGCACTGTCTGCAGGGCGCACAGATGAGCAGGTGAAGCTGACACCCCCACGTCAAAAATTTCATTAAATACAATGAGTGGTTAGTGCTGCGTTTGTGCTGCTTTGGATTCTGACACAGCTGAAGGTGGATGAAGACGCTGCGGGACATGTGGTCAGCGTCTCTGCTGCAGGACAGTGTCTGTAGTAAGATCCACACCACAGACATGGACAACGTCTCC